AAAAATGAACTATTGTTACCACAATATCATGAATGGATCTCAAAATATTAAGTAAAAGGAAGCCAGACAATACCCCTTTCTCCCCGTGGAAGGGGTGGTGGGAAGCACAGTACACTCCACTTACATAAACTAATCTATAGTCACCAGAAGAAGATTAGTGGTTGCCTAGGGTGGGAGGACAAGAAGGGGACAAGAGAGAAATTACAAAGGGTACAAGGAAGGTTTGGGGCATTATAACATGTTCAGTGTCCTAACTGTGGTGATAGTTTTACAAGTGAATACATATGTCAAAACTCATCAAAGTGTGCATTTAAACTACATGCAGTTTAACATATATCAAGTGTACCCTAATAACTGGGTGGATTTTTTTTTTAAGAAAAAGGACGATCGTGGACTATCTAGGGAACCACTTCACCTTTCCAAAACTCATCTACAAAGTGCAGCTATTATCTACAGTGTTCATCTGTTCCTGTGAGGATGGCATAAATAATGAATGTAAAAATATTTTGCAAACTGTGAATACAAGAGGTAGGGACATTGTGTAATCTTCATTACTATTAATGCTATTATCAACAATATAATTTAGTCATTATTATCACCACTATCACAGTCACTACAAAAGGACCCCATCGCGTTGGTCTGCTGGCACCTCACTTTACAGTCACTGAGGTAGTCCATCAATTTAACTTAAAAGGAAAAACAAACCCAGCAGGTTCACTAATTCCTAGGGACAGCAGGGAGGAGAAGGCGCCAGCTGATAAATACAATATGGTCTTCCAGGGAAGTGGGGAAAGACATGTTGTGAAACGCCTAGATATGCAACAGTTAGAGAAGCCAAGCACGCAGCTGTTCCTGCAAATCCCCCTTGTGCCTGAACAAACCTTTATTTGAATGCAATCATAGAAGATCCTACAAGCATAGAATGAGGGGAGTCTGTGAACATTCCACTACTGATACCTGAGAACTTGTGGTCAGCTCACCCCTCCAGAGGGACTGGCACCCCAGGACACCGAGAACAGGGAGTCCTCCCAGGCTGAAAGGAGGCAGAGCTGCCTGGAGCAAAGAGGGACTGCAGATGGAAAGAAAAAGGAGGGTAAAGAAGGGCCTTGGATTCTGTAGGGAAGAGGGTTCAATCTTCAGATAGGTAAACATAATTTTTAACACTTCTAGGTCATCTTTTCAAGAAAGCTCAAATCTGGATGCATGGACGAAGAGTAGAGGGGTCAATCCACGGTGAGATTGTTATTCCTCAGGTGGGGAGAGAGCCAGGGTTGAGCGGGAGAGAAAGGAACAAACAATTATGAACACTTACCATGGCTCAGGCCGGCATTTTACAAACATTATCTTATGAAGTGCTCCCAACAGCACTGTGCTGCTGAGAGCTGAGCTGCACAAACTAATTGCCATGCACTCTGCTCCCTGTGCAGGACCTCATTAAGCCCTTTCAGCAGCCCAGTGAGGCAGGTACAGTATTGCCTCCATTTAGCTCGTGAAGAAGCTAAGATGCAAAGAGCTTCAGTAAATTGCCTAAGGCCAGACAACAAGTAAAAGATCAAGCTCATCACTGACATCCGGGGGCTGAGATCACCTAGCAATTAGAGCCAGTCCGGCTAACTGCCTCTGGGGCACAGGAGAGAGCAGAGTACAGGACAAGATTGCAACAGGCTGAGGGGGTCGGTATCCAAAAGTTAAGGTCAGGTCAGGTGACCATACCTACAACACTGGGCCTTGAGAGGGAAGTGTTGGGGGGAGGGGTAGTCTTACACCTGGCAGATGGAGTGGGACTGTCTCCAGGGCCAGGGAGAGTGACCTCAGCACAGGGAGCTGATTAAACATAAAGGTAACTATCCAATTTCACTATCAACTGGGAAGAGAGAAGCTGACATAATTTGACTTTGTAATAGCTTTCTCTACAGTCTTCCCTTGTTGCCTTAGCTCAAGCTATAACTATTACAAAGCCCATTGTAGGTCTGGGTGGAGTCTTTGGATAGTTGGGAGAAACAGTTTGTCTGCTGGGAAATCCTCAGAAACAGCCTGGTGTGGATAACACGGACCTGAGCTGAAATCTTGTTTCCGTCAGTCAAGTGCCCTGGGCAGATCAAGTGGCCTGAGCTGTCTCCACGTCTGTTAAATGGGGGTATTTAATACTTCAGAAGCTTGTGTGGATGATCAGAGATGTTACATAAGGTATTCATCATGTTCTTGGCTCACTGCAGACACTCATGGAGTTAGTTTCTTTTCTCCCCTCTTCCCAACCTTGATTCAGAAGAGCTTTGGACGGGGATGTCAGACGCCCCCTTCAGGACTTCTGAGGATAGCAATAAGGAAAACCGGCCTCCCACTGGCAGGGGAGACAGGTATGAAGCTACAGGGGCTGCCTCTGGGAGCTTTTCCTCCCTGGCCTCATGGCTAGAGAAGGAAACTCACAGCCTTGATGCCTGCAAGAGCCCAGAAAGCCACCCAGTTCAAAGGAAGCATCATGGAACAGGGCAACAGCAGGGTTTTCAGATTAGGAGCCAGGTTGTACTTTCCACAGGCTGAGATCGGTGTTGTGGTTCACATCCTTCTGCTGGCTGAGCCCAGGTGCTCTCCTTGGATTCTGGCCACCTTCCCAACATACTTTTCCTTTGCCCCATAGGGCCCCGAGAGTCTCGGCTCTGCTCCCCTCTTCCCAGCTGCCCCCACCAGCTCTACTCTTCAAGACTGTCGGTGAAGTGGATACAACTGCCCAGTGATCTCTCCCTTTCTCATTGCTCTTGGCTGTGTGGGAGCAGAAAGAGCCAAGGAAGTAACAAAGTTAACCAATATGAGAAAATTAGAATGGTTCCAGAAAAGCCACAAAATTCCTGCAGTCCCTGACGATTCATGTGGACATTTAGGAAGGGTAAATCATATAATTATATTTATCTAACAAATAGACAGGGTTAGAACTGTATTATTGTTGATAATAAGGAGCAAGTTGTAGAAGAGTTTGAATGTACATACATAAGTGTGTATGCCCATCCATGTACATTTGATTAGTTATAAGAATTAAGGAAGGAGAATTAATAGTTAACAATGGTTTATCTCTAGAGCATGAGATTAGGATGATCAGGTGCCTTCTCTTTTGACTTTGTACTCTTCTGAACAGTTTAATTTTTTAATGAGTATATATTGCATTTACATTTTAATGGATACACACTGGTATTTATTTTACATACAACTAGTACAACAAACAAAATGATAAAAACATGGTGTTAACTGGACCTTTCTCGATCATATCCCTGCTCTCTCCTTTTATCCCTGAAAATATTAGTGTTTTAGCTCACCTTTCTCACCTCCGACCACCCCATGCCCATCCCTAAAGAAGCAGGAAACATAATAGACATAAATGAGCAAATCAGTGGGATTCCCCAAACTCAAATGGGCTCTGGGATGTCCCTGAGGAGTAGTAGCTTATTTCAGTGTGCCTCCAGCATTAAACAGGAAATGTCAGGTTAGACCATTCCTGAACACCTGCTCTCCAGGTGGGAAAACCGAACTCCACCTAAACTTCAGAGGCTGCCAGGGGACCTCAGGGGTTAGGGTAGCCCCTGGCAGCTGAGGGCAGTGAGAGAACATCCTCCTTCCGCTCCCAGTCCTGCTACTGCCTGTGTGACCACGGACGAGGCCCGTCTCCTCTCTGGGGCTCCACTTTCCCTATTAATGGGAGTGTCAATGCCAACCTCTAAGACTGTTGACAAGGTCATCCAAGGTAGTGCAAGTAGAAACACATTTTCAATTGCCAAATATTTCACCGAGCTAAAGTAGAACAGGAGACTTAGTAGCCTTTGTAAAACGGGAGGCCACTTTTCATTTTGAGTGAAATTCATAAATAGACACACAGAGAAAAAAGGGAGTAAGGGAGGATCCTTGGCAGCTGGTGGCATGTCCCTCCACCCTGGATATCCAAACCAGGAAGAGGAGGGTGTGTGCGCGCACGCGCATGTGCGCTGTGTGTCCAGAAGGGTGCTTTGAAAGAGCGTGGGTGTGGAGCACACACAGCATCAAATCCCTGCCTGCAGCCATTCAAAGTGGGTTTTGAGGTCTGTCAGTAGAATCCTGTGGCCCAGCTGCAGCCTTGAGGCCCAGGGCACAGGAGGGAAGAGACGGCAAGGAAGCCTGTTAACTGCCCTCCCACCCTTTCCAGGTCACCTGAGTCAGCAAGCTGTGGCTAGAGCAAGGGGGGAAACCGGGTGCGGTGTGCCCAGGAGCCGGCGCCAGAGCAGGCATGGTGCTCTGCGGACGAGTAGAGCCTGGGCTCCAAGAGACCTCATTCTGCCCCTACTCAGCTCCGTTGCCACTCCACCCTGGGGTTCACCTCCCCTTCTGTAAAATGATGGGATTGAACGACAGGACCCTTCTGGCTCCGTGACCACGGCCATTCTGTGTGGGACCATCAGGCAATGGAGCTTCCCAGAGGGCCCATTGAGAGCTGGGAAGGGAGTGCCTGGATTTCCCTCTGGCTTCAGTTAAGGGCAGACACAGGCAGGCTCCCCCCCTCCCCCCGTGCCGTTCCTGTGTCCTGCCCTAAATGCACTGGAAATCTGTAAACTTATTTTTAAGATGCTATTTATTTATTTTTAGAGAGAGGGGAAAGGAGGGAGAAAGAGAGGGAGAGAAACATGGATAAGAGAGAGACATTGACCGGTTGCCTCTTGCACACCCTCCACTGGGGACCTGGCCTACAACCCAGCCATGTGCCCTTACCAGGAACGGAACCAGCAACCTTTGCTTTGCAGGACCATAGCCAACCTGCTGAGCCACACCAGTCAGGGCTGTGAACTTGTTTTGCTTTTCCTCCCAGAAGGAAAGGGGAAGTGGGGAGGCAGACAACAGGGCCTCTTCTCATAAGGTGTGGCCTCATGAGAAGATGGAGGGGGACCGGGAGACCTGGCACAGAGGGTTACTGCAGCGGCCAGGAGAGAAGACACAGGCTCACAAAGATCACACAAAACAAACTTTATTCAGAAAAGCATATTAGTAATCACCACTCAACTCTTAAATGAGGCACTTTGGTCCCCTCTCCCTACCAGCCATCACCCCTCCTACTCCCACCCTTTCTTTTGGTCTTTGCAGAATGCTGGAAAAATCCTCTCCTGGGTCTGCAAGGGATCCTAGACCTTGCACTGGGAGCAGCCCACAGTGGTCTTGGGCCAGACTGAGTCCTGGAGTCCAGAGAGAAAGGCCAATGGAACTGCCTCCAGTATTCAAAACTTCTGGACCAGGTCAGGTGGCCGTCCCTTTGGCACAGGGCTGCGAGGGAGAGGAGGAGATGGGTGCAGGGCCATCTTACATATCCTTCTCACGTCTGGAGAAGCAGCTGGAGGCCAAGCAGAAGGCACATCTAGAAGAGCCAGTAAGCACTGGAATGTTTCAGGCACATCTGGATGAATAAGGTACCAAGAAGACCAAGGAGGAATCTGCTCCTGAGTAAGGTCACCTGACCACAGACAAAGCACCATGGGCTGGGGGCACTAAGAAGATATCCTCAGGGGCCTGGATCTGAGCTGCGGATGCAGCTTAGATGGTGGTCTGAAAAAAAAGAGAAAAGGAACAAAAGTTGGAGCCAAAACCCATTGTTTAAGGTACAGAGGCACGCAGCTCAGTTCCAGGTATTTGGAATCTCGTGTCCAAGTCACAGCACAAAGAGAATCAGGATTTTTCTTATGCTGAGGCAAAACAAATCTTCACCCGTCTTGGCTCGTCAACTGGATGGTGTTGATGAGAAACCGATCCTTCCCTCTTCCCACTACAAAACCTGTGCTGATACAGGCTGGAATGGTACTGCCCATCCAAGGAAGCAGGCCCTGGGAATCTCCACGGTGCCTACGACATGGAAACCTGCAAGAGAAGAACCAAAGTCACTAGGTTTCTGAGGCACCCCCAAGCATCCCAGCAAAACCCGTCCCCAGGCTCCGGCTGGCACCAGCAGTGGGAGCTGAGGGGCCGGTCACCCTGCCTGGAGTATGGCGGCAGCATGCCAGCCTCGCGGAGACACTGAAGGGCTCAGTGTCCTGGGATTTCCCAGAGCAGGGAAACAAAGATAGCCACAGTTTTAATAGGTACAAAGTTTAGTTTTGCAAGTTCTGGATACGGATGATTGTGATGGTTGTACAACAATGTGGATGTACTTAGTGCCACTGAACAGTATACTCAAAAATGGTTAATTTATTTTTTTTAAATAACCATGTTAACAGTATCTAACATGTATTGGCTCCCTCCTATATACCGGGGGGACCCAAATAAAACAAGAATTATATACTGGAGGGCAGGCCCCTCATGGTACAGACTTCCCGCCCCTAGGGGAGTCTTCTAGGAACTCATCTACATCGGTGTACCAGCTGGCGTTTTTGTTAGAGGCTGCATTCGGCTTCAGTGAAAATTTTTTTTTGAAGACTCTTTCAACGTATTTACCCATTTCATGATAGGTGGTTTACGAGCGCACCTGCCCACACCACGCTAAGTGTTCAGCAGTTTTTGACTCAAAAAGATAAAACCTCCAAGTCTCACCCTCCCTATTCACCAGGTCTCACCCTCAAGTGACTTTTTTGTTTCCCATTTCCCCAGATGAAAAGAGTCCTCAAAGGAAAACATATTGCCACTGTGGAAGAGGTGAAACCAAAAATCAGCAGAAGCACTAAAAGGCATCAGTATCAAGGAGTTCAAAAACTGTTTTGAGCAGTGGAAAAGAAAACCATTCAATAGGCTTATTGCATCAAATGAAGAGTGTTTTGAAGGCGACTGAAATGTAAACTTCACAATTTTTTAATAATAAATTCTGGGGTTTTGGAGGGGTACCCCTTGTATAGTATAGCCTGGTCCTAAGGAGGTCAAACTGCCAGAGTTCAAATCCTAGCTCCACCCTTCACCAGCTGGGAGACTCTGCTCAAGTCACTCAGCCTCTCAGTGACTCATTGACTCATTTTCCTTATATGGAATAAGGACATAATAATAGAACCCACCTCAGTAGGGTTGTTGAGAGGACGAATAAATCCGTCTAAGTGCTTTGAGCGGTGCCAGGCACCCAGAGCCCTAGCTCAACGCTGCGGTGAGCATGGGAATTACATAAGTGCCCCCACCCCACCCAGTTCTTCAAACTTACAGCAGAGAAATCTGACACCTCCCCACCTCAGCCTTAAAAACATGCTCACAAAGACACATTCTGGCCTCCCCTATTCTAGTTTCCAATGGGCAGGGGCGGCATTTTTTTTCAAAGAGCAGAACTTAGAAGGATTTAGCAAAAAGGTTGAACTGGCACAACTCTTCAGACATTGTGGTTATCAATGTCACCCCACCAACTTGCTCTCTGAATAAAAACTCTCTAAATTTTAGAAAAGGTGGAGCTCTACATTCTTATCCAGAGGTCTGTGACCCCTCCAGAAAACCAAGGGGTGTCATACCTTACAGCGGTGGGCCAGCTGTTCACCCAGCTCCAGAGAGCTTCCTTCTGTCATCGGTGTGACCGGAGGTCAATGCCAGGATCTCTCACAGGTGACATTCCTTTAGACTGGGAAACCATCTGGATAACTTTGACTTCATTTCCCAAACAATGTAAAGGAACGTTCACATCCACCAGTTCCCAGGCCTCTCGACGGTCTGTGGGGAGCAGCTATTTTCCCTCATGGGATGGGCACTCCCTCTGCTAGAGAAAGTTGCTGGGAAAGAGAGCACCCCAAACCTTCGGACAAACCATAGCCTATGGGCTGGACCCCTTGGAAGAAATGAGAGCCAGGGCAGCAAGGTCCCCTAAGGTGGCAAAATCTGGTCCAGGCCCAGAGGCAGTAAACACTTAACTACTGTCTTGTTTTACAGCAGGACTTCTCAGAGCCTTTGCTATGCTAATGACTCTCCAAGAAGGAGAAGCAGCACCTTTGACAAACCCCTGTGGCCTGGAAAGCCCCTTTTAGAGGGTAACTCCCGAGGCACGGTCCCAGGAGACACCACTGCCTTCACGTAAACAGCGCTGGACTGGGAGTTGGGAGATGGGGCTCTCCTGTTATTCTGGCTTTTCTTCCGAGCAAGCTTTAGGGCTCCATCTGTAAAATTGAATGGGGCTCACCCTAACTAACATTCCCTGGAGGTCGGGTGGGATCCCTAATACAAAGAAGTTATTGGGAGGTGGGAATGGAGCAGAAGCCTGTGACAGGAAGGCTGGGAAACTAGTGTGCGTTTGGGCCTGGCCTCCGCGAACCTCGAAGACAAAGGCGGAGCAGGCAGACGCCAGAATAGAGCCCACAGGCCCTCACCATCCATCCTCACCTTTGGAGATAGGCCCCACCTCAGGACATCAAAGCACCGAGGGATGGGCCGGGAAAGGCTGCACAGGCTGCCCGCAAAATCCCAAACTAAAACCAAACTCATTCCGGGACCAGTGGAGGCCTGTCCCCAGCTCCACTCGCTGCTGCCTGCTTGTCTTTTACAGCACTCAGGGCTGGAAGAGGGGCCAGAGAAAGGGGCCAGAGTGTTCTTCCCACTGCGGGACGGCCGGGAGGGGGCTAGGGGCGCAGCCAGAAGACTGCTAACAATTTGGGAGCCTCCCCCGGATCTACGCGGCGCCTGTCCACGTCTCGATCTCAGCAGGAAAGGGGAAGAGGAATCGCGAGGTCTCGCCTCCGTTGGGCCAGTCTGAGTGTGCGTCCGTCCTGCGGATGTAGCCCTGCCCGGGTTCCTGGAGACGGCGCATCCCGCACTGTGGTCCGGACCCTGGGCGGTGGCGCTGCCCTCTGGCGGGAACTGCGTGTCAGGGTGCCTGGGCGCGGGCGGCGGCGGGAACGCAGAGCAAGGGAGGGCGCCAGAGCGTAAGGCGCGGGGCGGCAGAAAGGGCTGGGGCGCTGGTCTCTTCAGGGTCCCCCGCCCCGCGGCGGGGCGTCCTCACGCCACCTCCTGTTCGCCCTGGCAGCGGCGGCAGCAGCCGTAAAGCGCCGAGAGCAGGTAGAGGCCCAGGCAGAGGCCGCCACAGACCGCAGCAGCCAGGAAGGCATGGTAGGCGCAGGGCATCTGGTAATCCTTGAGGTTGCAGTAGCTGTGCTTCTGCGTCTGGTCGATCATGATGGCTGTCGCGGCGCCATAGAGCGCAGCTGCCAGCAGGTCGTGCGCCACGTTGACCACGAGCCAGCGCGAGCCCAGCACTGGCACCAGCTCGTGCTTGCCCAGCAGCGTGAGAAAGTAGAGGCCCAGGGTCAACAGCCAGAAGAGCACGGACACGAACAACGCGAAGTGCACAGGACCCTGGTACCTGCTGGTGGCGATGGTGATCCAGAAGGAGGCGCCGGTCACCAGCTGCAGCAGTCGCAGCACGCCCAGCGGGCCGCGCAGGAAGGCCCGCTGCAGGCGCACCGCACCGCGGGCCGCACGCGCCTGGGGCGGCGGCTGGCGCGGGGGTGGCGGGAGCATGGCCCCCGGGCGCGGTGGCGGCGGCGGCGGCGCCCCGAGAAGCGGAATGGCTGCGCCTTGCTTGCGGGGGCGGCCCGGCCAAAGTGCCCCCTGCTCCTGCCGCGGCCTCCTGCTCCCTCCTAGTCCTCCGCTCTTTCTCCTGCTCCCACCCTTCCTCCCCTCTCTCCTCCCCCCAGGCCTCCTCTTTTCTCTCTCCCTCTCTCCACCCCTCCTACCCGCCCTTTCCCTTCCCCTCGTCGGTCTCCACCCCCACTCGCTCTTCCCGGCTTCCTGCCATCTCTGTTTCTGTCTCGCTCACCACCCTGGGGCCACCCTTTCCCGTCAACGCCAGACTCCCAGCTCGGATTCTTTACTCCTCAGGGCAAAGCGGAAGGCACCCGCACCCCCCAGCCAACCGCGGGCCTTCCGCTACATCCAGTTTGGGTGAAGTTTGCCACATCTGGGGCGGGCCTGCCCACGCTGCTTCCCCAGCTCCGGTCCAGCCTTGGAGGGGAAAACTGTCTTCTGGAGCATTCATCCAGTATCTGGCTTGGCCCTGTTTTTTCACCTTCCTCCTATATGATCGCCCGCCCAGGCCTCCCGTCCCTTCCTTGGCGCTGGAGGAGGGCCGTGCTGGTCTTGAGCTGACATCCGTTCTTACCTGAGGGGTCATCCGGCGTATCTTGCCAGTGTCCACCGCAAATTTATCCTGTTCCAACCTGGGCTCAGACTTTGTCTCAGCCCTTCGAGTCCTCCATGTTGGAGAATGAGACCACCATCCACCAGAGACCCCACTGACCCTCCCACATGCTACAAAGCAAAATCCAATCTCTTTTTTCCAACCCTCCTTGCCCCGGAATCTTGCCCAGATTAAAAATATGCTACCCAACAAAGCCAGGACACAAACCCAGGTCCAAGAGACAGCAAAGCCCATGTCCTTAATGACTAGGCAAAACAGACTGTGGATCGGTGCCTCCGGGCCAGTTAGGAACCGGGCTGCACAGCAGAAGGTGAGCTTGAATGTAACGCACTTGAATCTTCCCGGGAAAACCATTCCCCCACCCTATCCCTGACGGTGGAAAAATTGTCTTCCATGAAACCGACCCCTGGTGCCAAAAATTTGGCAGCCACTGTTTACATCATTGTTATTACTATGCTTTACATATATTCTCATTTGAGCCTCAAAACAACCCAGATGATATATGCAATTAGTTTCCTCATTTACCAAGGAAAAAAACGAAGCCTAGAGGAGTTAAGACCACAAAACTGGTCATTCCGGCTGGTCTTCCTTCTCTCTCCTTTGATCCAACCTTTCTGTGCCATGCTGTGGCATCTTTCTACAACACAGACCCGGTTGGTTATTGCACCGCCTCCCCACAGACCACAGGATAGGGCTCTATCTCTTCTCTAGGCATATTTCACAATCTGGCCCCTGCTGATCTAGAGTTTCCTGATTTTTCACTTCCTGTCTGTACCTGTGATTCTACCCAGTATGTCAACCCTATCAAACGTCTTAAGTTTCCCAAATAAGCTTGGAATGCCTTTCACCCCCAGGCCCCTCTTGGCTCCCACTCACCCTTCATTGCCCTGTTTAAATGCTCCTCCCTTTGGTTCAGCCTCCCAGACTGTTGATTGCTGGCTTCTCTGAACCACACTTCAGAGTATCCCTCTGCAGTAGTTCTGAGTTGCCTGCATTTTAGGCACTGGTGCTTTTGTAACCATTGTAACCAAAGATGCTTTTCCATCTTTGCCTGTGCCTGGCACATAGGAGACTCAGTACATGTCAGTGGAGTGGATGGAGGGCTGAGTGACAGCAATGGACCTGAGCGGGCCCTCTTACCCTGGGGACTGGGCATGCATCAGAGCCCCAGCTAACCCTGTCCTACAGAACTAGTCCCTCATCTCCTAGTCGTGGGATGAGTCCATGACCTCTGGCCTGGCTGTGCAGGTCCCGCTTCCAGCAGCCTGGCTCCCCTTGGGAGAGAAAAAGTATGGGGACTAATGTCTCTCACTGCCAATACAGCCTCACCTACAGGTACTGAACAAGCTCTGAATGCATATTTTATTTTATTTTTTTAAAATGTTTTATTTAGTTAGTTTTTTGGGGGAGAGGAAGAAAGAGGGAGAGAAACATCAGAAATATCAATTGGTTGTCTCTCTCACACCCCCAACTGGGGACTTGGCTCACAACCCAGACATGTGAGACATGTGGCCTGCCCGGAAATCGAACCAGGGACTTTTTGGTTCACAGGCGAGCACTCAACCCACTGAGCAACACCAGCCAGGGCTGGGTGCCAATCTTGAGAAAGGCTGGATCTAGGATAGGCAAATGGGGGCTTACTCTGGGTGCTGGACTGACGACAAACTATCTCTGTGAGTGGGAAACCAAACCAAATAAACATTTAGAGAGAATCCTCTCCTAAAAAAGGCATCTGAAAAGTTGAGGGTGGGGCTCCACCTGGTGGCCATAGGCCTTCAGTCTCACCAGCCAAGTCCTCCTTACAAGGAAGTTAATGCAGTGGCTTTGAGAGATATTTTTAGCCTCTGGAATTCTGAAGACATTCCAAGGGGCAGTCCGGTAGACTGAAAAAGCGTAACCATGCCCAAAGATCTTGATTCCTCCAACTCAACAAATATGGTCTAAGCACCTGCTGGATGCAAACAATCTGGCAGTGGAATGCAGGGAGAGAATCAACTGCCCTCAGACTGTTCACATTTTGCTGATAGGGGAGGGACAGTTGTGGACACAAAAGAGAGCTATAGATGAGAACTATAAGAAAAAATACAAAAGGGAGCAAGAAAGTATGTGTGATAGGAAAGGCTGCAGAAAGCTGCAAGGATGAAGTGTCATTTGAGGATGGATAGGATTTTGACAAGCAGAGATCGGGGATGGGTGTTACTGGATGAGGCAGTCCACTGTGGATTCTAATCATCCCTGAATGTTATCACTGAGAATGCGAAGAATGCAAAGCCATGACTGCTCTTTCCCCAGCCATTTCTCAGTGTTGTGTTAGCAGCCAATAACATTGAGTGATTAGGGAACATCTTGTCCCAGACAAAGAGCAGGCTTGCTTGCTGGGTACTATAAAAGTGGTTTTGACACTGGCAGGTGTGGCTCAGTAGGTTGGGTACTGTTCCACAAAGTGAAAAATCACCTGTTTGATTCCCAGTCAGGGAAAATGCCTGGGTTACAGGTTGGTCCCTGGTCAGGGTGAATAAGAGAAGCAACCAATAGATGTTTTTTCTCATATTGATGTTTCTCCCCCTTATTTTCTCACTCCCTTCCCCTCTCTCTAAAAATAAATAAATGAAATTTTTGCCCTGACCTGCATGGCTCAGTTGGTTGAGCATCATCCCACAAAACTAAAGGTCCCTGATTCAATTCCCAGTCAGGGAGTATGCCCGGGTCGCGAGACCAGCCCTTGGTTGGGGTGCGTGTGAGAGGCAACTGACCACTGTTTCTCGCATGCATCAATGTTTCTCCCCCTCTCTTTCTCCCTCCTTTCCCCCTTTCAAAAAATTAATAAATAAAATATTTTTAAAAATACAATATTTTAAAAATAAATGAGTAAAAATAAAAGTCATTTTGGTAAGAAGGGACAATGGTGAGTTTCCCAAGCTCGGTATTCCTCCGCTACGATACAACCCCCTTGTGTGTATAACATCTACCTGGACCCTTCTGTGTTTGTCCCATGAAACTTGGAAACGAGGGAAAGAGATGTAACAATGATGCTCGTCCTACTTGCTGTGCCAAGAGTGGTAAGTCTTTTGTCTCTGGCTTAGCAATCGTGTCTTCTGCCAGCATTTATAAAACAATAGCTGGCTAGCTTATTAGTTTGGAAGCAGCGTAAATTCCAGGCCCTCCCAGGTGTTCTAAGGAGAGGGAACAGGGTGAGCAAAAGCAAGGCCTAGGTTTTTGAGGGAACAAGGAGTAGTGATGCTTGATGGATACTCTAAGCTCCAATGTCCAGAGGGGAAGGCAACTTGTAACAAGGAGGAACATTCACCAGTCCTGAGATCCCACGATCAGCTATTACTGCTCAGTCCATTCTGTTCTCTCTTCTGTCTCTGGGCTAGTATAAACGTAGTGCCTCTATGGGCTCAACTCACATTGGTTTAACACCTGTTACGTGCCAGGCTTAGAGCTGGCACTTGACACAAATCAATAGCACAGGCAAAATGCACCATGAGAAAGATGCGTGCCTTAACCTGCAGAATGTTGCCTTGAATCTTATCATTAAATTACTAAGTATTTCCTAAGCATTACCTACTATGTGCCTGACACCTCCCATGTGCCTACAATTCTGTGCCTGAGCCAGAAGAGGCCTTGAAGATCATTTGTTCCAGGCTTCTCTTCTTATGAAGCGGGTAACTGAGGCCCAGAGAAGATGACTTGTTCCAGGTCACACAGCTGGTTGGTGATGTGAGTGTCAAGTTTATAACTAAAGGTCTCCTGACTCAGTCCAGTGTTCACTCTTGTGACACCATGGGGACAGTGCCCAGACAGAGTGTTCCCTGCAGCTACAGGGCAAAGGGCTCTGCGCAGGCGCTCTGTGGGCCAGGCCAGCACACGCACTGTCATCTGCGGGCCAAGTGGCCCATGCCTCCAGGCCCGTTCCCAAGGTGGCTCCCACCAGGCTGTAGAAATAGGGGGCCTTAGGGTGGTGGGTGAGGGCCCCTCTGGGTGGAGTGGAGTGGGACTTTGGATGGCTCTTGAGTTTGTTAATCCAGTCCCCAAGGGATATCTGGCCTTTGCTGGGGCCATAAGCACCTTTGGGCAAAGGCAAGGGGTCACGCGCTGGACCTGGGCAAGTGGTGAAGGCATCTGACTCTGGCAAAGGTCAGCCCTCACTCCCCAGGGGAGGCTGGCCAGGGCCGGCCCAGGAGCCACAGGTACGTCCTGAGGCTTATCTTCCTGTGAAGCCACCCAGCACGCTGGCTGGCACGGCGGGGTCCCTAAGACTAGGTTACTAACCGTCGCTGACCAAGGTAGGTGCCCCTGAGATCATGTCATTAAGCAGCTGCCCTTGAGGTGCTCGAGGTTACCTCC